TTTGCATCCATTCACTAGCGCTGACCACACTTCACTTGTGCATCCATTCACCTGCATTTCATACTGACTGATATTACTGACAGGCCAACTGACTTTTGTGATTGTTGATTTTGGTTATATTTCGTTGTAATAAATATTATGTTAAGTTATTCCGCCGTGTCGTCTCCCTTAATGTTACATCTTTGAGCCAGGTGTAACATATGGGGGCTCGTCCAATTTAAATTTGTTTGATTTGGTTTAATGTTAAACTTTATTCGTTTGATTAATTAGGTGGGAGAGACCAGCAGGCGGAAAGATTGGTTTGGAGCGTGGGTTCGTATTTTGGTCAGCTCTGAAAAGGTTAGTTCTTGCGGTTTAAGGACTGTGTATTTCTTTATACTCCCCAGTTAGGTTGTAGCAACGCTTTGCGTTGTTTTTTTGTTTTAATTTATTATTTGTGTGTCTCCTGGGTCGCGTGCACTGCCGTGGTGTTCGTTCCGAGCTGGTTGTTTGGTTCTGCGCCAGCGGTATTTGGGTGCTTCAAAGGGCTTGACTCTTGGGAGCACATGAAGACTGGGAGTAGTTAGTTAGAGGGTTTTGTTAAGATTAGGTGGGGAGGTGGAGAATGTGTACACAATTTTTTGACCGTAAGAATTACCTGAGCTGAATTGTAATTAGAAGTATAGGTAGGCCGAATTGATTGTTGGATTAATTTGTGTAAATTCGATTTGTGAATTATGACATCAATTGAAGAATTCTGTAAAGCTCCTTCAGATGAGTTATTAAATTTGTGTTCGAAAAAACAGCTGTGGGAAATTGTGGAACGATTTGAATTAAGTGGCGTTGAAAAGCGTTTGAGAAAAGATGAGGCCAGAGAAATAATAAGAAACAAATTGAGCGATCTTCAGATTTTATTAATTACGCCGAAACGAGTAACAGCTGGGGTTAATCCTGCAGCTCAAAAATCAGTTTCATTCGTTGGTTTGTCGTTTGAGCAGCAGAAAGAGCTTATTGAAATGCAACAGTTGCACGAAAAGGAGATGCGTGTTTGTGAGATAGAAATAGAAAAACGTAAATTAGATGATTTGATGAAACGGCGTGAGATGGACTTTGAAAAAATTAAACATGAGCAAAAATTAGCTGCAGAACGACAAAATCAAGAGTTTCAGTTAAAAATTGAGAGTTTGAGACTTCAAAGTGAGGGTAGATCATTTAGTGATCGCGCAGACCGTCCTTTTGATATAATCAGTAATTTGAAATTGTTGCCTGCGTTCAACGAGAGAGATCCTGACGTCTTTTTCTCTTTATTTGAAAGCATAGCAGACGAACGGGGATGGCCTGAGACCGACCGTACAGTTATGCTTCAATCTGTTTTGGTGGGGAAAGCTCAGGAGGCATATACTGCTCTTTCAGTAGAGGAAAGAAAGAAGTATGATAGTGTAAAGTCTGCTGTGCTAAAAGCTTTTGAGTTGGTTCCAGAAGCTTATCGACAGCGTTTTCGTTCTTGGAGAAGAAGTGAGAGACAAACGCACATGGAGGTTACACGAGAGTTAAGTAACCATTTTGATCGCTGGTGTACAACATCGAACGTACAGTCATTCATTCAGTGAGTTACGCGAAATGATGGTTGTTGAACAGTTGTTCCCGATCAAATTGCAGTGTATGGCACAGGCCTCAATAATTTTAATTCCTTATACACATACTCTATAAATAGAGTAGGCTACAAATAAATCATAAAGCGATGTTAGTGAAGGCACTGTTTGGTTGTTTAGCCTGTGATAATGACACAATGCTCAAATTATTACTATTGTTTTATCAATAGGCCTATGTAGAAAACCAGTAGGCTAAGAATTACATTAAAATTTAAAGATTAAAATAAACATAAGGCATATAAGGATTAGGACTGAACAGTACCTATAACTTTGCATATCAATAAATTTAATTTCGTATACACACTCTACAATATGCTACAAATAGCCTGAATTATAAAAACAATGTTATTATAATTGTAGCCTATATTTTTATATATAAATACAGACAGGCAACCGCTCAGGTTCACAATACATTTTTTTGTAAAAACATTTTTACTACCTCAATTTGCATCAATCATGTTAAAAGTACAGCATAAACTTGTATAGTGACTTACTTTAGTTGTATTTTTAAGAACAACTGACTAAAACTTTAGTTTTTACAATATTTGCATGTCAAATGAACAAAGTTGTTTTGTTATGAGTATTACAGTATTTCTCTGTTTTTTTATACCAATCTT